CTAAAAGGGCAAAACAAGGACATTCTTAGTGACTAGTGCAACAAATTGTGTGGGCCCACAGTAGTTACTGGAGAAGGGATAAATCGACCTGATGACAGCGTACAACACCGGCAGCTCCTCCATAGCACAGCCACTTTTCACTGCCTTTGTTCATGTTCCATCTCACCCTATGCATGGCCACAATTTTCGGAGGGAACATTTCAAAATTGGGTTTACTTTTCTCTGAATTTTGTTCAGATCCTTGCTCTTCAACAGAATTGTTTCCAGAAAGAACTGTCAATCAATAAGAAAATATTAGATACGCAATCCAAAGAAAAATGAAATTGCGCAATCACACATATAGAAACATAAGCAATGACGTGTTGTGGAGCTTTACCCATTTGATCCTTCACTCTGTTCTCATGATCTTTTGCTGCTCCTCCCCCAGGACGTTTCGTGCCTGGGATTCTTTTCGAAACCGAGCTATTAGTCGATGGAGTTGCTACAACAAGGGCTTTTCCCTCTTCGAATAACGACCCACAAAGATAATGATGCACGCGGTTTCGTGTATCCTTCACTGATTTACTCGTTGGCTGCTTAAAAACAAAAGTAGATCACATCAGGACATCCAAAGGCTTGGAATTCTTTGAAATGTAACAATTGACAAGTCATTTTCTATTTCTTTTTATTTTTTACTTCATTGCAATTAGAAATCCAATAAAAAGATTTCAACTAAAATCACGAGCTCAAATCAAAGTTGGCATCAGAACATCCCAATGCTGAATCAGCTATATATTATGTAAGATGAACTTCAAGATGCCTGCTTTACAGACTCAATAAACATATAAATAGACAGAAAAATATACGGATAATTTTAGTGTTCACCTGGAAGCAAAGGGCTGATCCTTCTTCACCACAATAGGCAACTGCACCTAATGTTGAGGACGATCGAAAGGAGTGAGAAAAAAAAAAAAAAAAAAAAAAAAAAAAATTGTAGAACACCTGATGATCTCACCGACCTGTCAGGCGAGAAACTTGGAGGCTCCATATTGAGAATGAGGAACAGTCATAACTGCTCAAAACCGGCCTTGATGCTACCAAGCATTTTCCAGTAACCGGAATATCCTGTGCAGCTTTCTCAAAGTTGAGAAGCCATAAGGTCCCATCTTCATTGACTCCACAAACACATCTACAAGAACAATGATGCAGAGTACAGTTAGACCGTGATTAAAAAAAAAAGAAAAAAAAAAAGGAGATGGAGATCAACCCATATTTATATAATTTATACCTCAGATGAGGCAGCCAATCCACATCAAAAATGCCCCCCTGAATAGAAGAGTCCCGCAGTGGACGAAATGGATCACTGCAATAAGCAGGAGATGAGAAAATATATAGTAGTGATGGATAGAATGAATACTGTATTTGACTAGTCCAGTTTTGATTGATTCACAAAAATGGCCATCACCTTAAGGGATTTATCTTGGACACAACTATTTGAATTAACAAACAACCAACACACAAATCTATAGGAAAAAACCTTCAAAATCACATAAATTACAACTTTTAAACGACATGTCCGCTTATATATATATAATATCGCAGCTGGTTCAAACTTATCACACAGTTGATGTGGACTGCATGAAATAATTTTCTCTCTATTTAGGAAAACAACAATAATATGACAGGCTTTATCCACTTCTAAAGTCAATAAGCAAATTTGAAGCCTGAATTGCAGGAAGCTTGAATTGAAGGTATTACCAACTAGCAAGTAACAATTAACATTGCACCAGATAAAATCTTCACATATAAGTTCAATTAACTTACTATGGTGTATACGACTCCAAAACACAAAGAAAAATAGTAAGAGATCAAGTAGATATAAAGTATGCCGCCCAGAATCGTGCATACCGTATGTCCCAAAACTTGAGACCTTTATTACCGGCAACAGCAAACACATATGCAGTCTCTTGATCACTGCAATCTTAAACAATTTGAATTAGCATATACTCCAAGCGGTAATTAAATAATAAATATGTATATTCAATAAGACTCTTGTTTGTTGTTTCATATGACAATAATAATGATAGCACAAACATAGATTTTATGTTTTGTTTAATAGATATTAGCACGGTGAGAAAGCTTTCAGATATCTGATTTACCAATGTCATTCTCACAAGATCTTTATGCTGGATATGGTATACACTAAACTTGGATCAGATGCAAGTTTCCTCCATTAAACGTGAGAAGGCCAATTGGAAGTAACTACCCAGTTGTATTTGGTAATAAGATTGTTGATAGTTCCTAGATTTGGCAGAGATACGCATTAATTATAATCTAAAGTAACCAGTATTAGAAGCAGGTGAGTCTCCATCATTATAAAGATAAAACGAATTCTATCGAGGGAACTTTATAACAAATTCTATCAAGGGGAAAGTATTGACCAAAGACTGGTAACTCGTGAATAATACACACGGTCTAATGCAATGAGAGGTAAAGCATGAGGTTTTAACAACATAACTACAATGAAGTAAAAGGGATTAATTCATGCAGAACTACAACCTCTGAATCGGTGCCCATGCCAGGGTTCTGATTGGACATGTTTCTGCACTGAAGCAAAGCATAGGTCTGGTCTCTGAAG